ACTCTTGTAGAGTAACATTTCACCCTGATGTAAAACAGATCAGGATTTCTTTCTTGGTTTTTACATAGTCAAACATGACTCCAGGCCTTTTTGCACAGCTCTAGTTTCCCTGACACGAGTCTCAGTATAAATGCCTCATTCACTTTTACTTTCTATAGAGGCCTTGCATTCAAGCACATCTCTCTTACTAGACAACACGTTATAATTCTTTTAAAAGAGTTATAGGTCCTTGAATCTATCAACTCCAGGGTTCAAATGCAACTATCACAGTAGTATTGTAAAACTGAAGTATTTTACATGCTTAGTATAGATAACAATTGCCAGATGATCTTTGTTGCTCTGCACTTCAGTTACCACTTATTAGCAATTAAGACTCTCCTTTCTCAACTCCCCTACCACCTGAAGCCATAATAAACACCTCTTGCACTCAGCAAAGTCACATCTTCCTGTTCTGGAACAATTTCACAGACTAACTCCCTTCACATTTCATTGAACACCTATGTCCTTCATCCACAAGCTGCCTCACAAATCTGACTGCCAACACCTGAGCTTACTTGCCCTTCATGTCACAATCCACTTATCAACACAATACCAAATATCTGATTGCCCAAGTAACAGCAATTCTCGTTCCATGGAAAACAGCAAAGGAAAACAAGGGAGATAGTGCAGTTCTGTGGCCATTGAAGAGTAAGTACCACACTTGCTGCAGAGCATGTTGTGTGTCTTCACAGACCCATCCCCCCTTCGCTTTTCTGGTCATGAAACACTGGCTAGTCCTTCATTCCATGTAGCACTGGAGCAGTTGACAAATCAGAATTAAATGGATGCAAAGTACCATCTACCACGAATTTTTGCTCAGAAGTGTGTTAGAAGCTGGCTTAGGAGAGCCTGATGCTATTTAAACACTCAAGAGCTAAAAGCCTATTTATTTTCTAATGTTTTACTGCTCAACACAAAGCACAGACTGATGAATTCTTTCACAAATTTTATTATCATGTGTATCAGCACAGATCAGAATTTCAACAACCAAACAGCTGTCTTAATTTCTTCCCCTTGCACTGTTATTTTTCCAGTACAACTTTACAGGAGGGAATTACTCTGCTAGTTGAGAAAAGCAATATGCCCAAGAAGTTGCAAACAGACCACAGAATTTTCCATAAATGTGTGTAACAGGAAAAAAAAACCCAACTGGTATTTCTCTGTATCTATACACATACATATGCACACACACACATATACGCAGTCATAGACAGACAAAATCTTCCTCCAAAGCAACATGCATAAACAAAATTTTGATTCCTTAGGAAAAATAATGTCTAGCTAGGATACAAGACAGAGACTCTTCTCTCCCCTGCATCAAAACTAAAAGACACTCTACTCACAGCCAATTTAGTATCCAAGCTTCTTCTAGAGAATAAAGGGGGTGAAAATAGATCTTTGGCTCTTCAGTCTGCACATTTTCATGTTTTCACATGAAGAATGTTGCATAAACTCAAAACATCTCTCTTGGCCATATGTTTCTTCCAGACACTCCTTAGAAACAATATAAATGTCTCTAATAAACAGCTTGCTTAAATGCATATAGCTGTAGGACAGAGATGCCATTGGTTGACATTGATGACATTCCAAAATCCCAGGCTAATAACTTACAGCATCACGGGTTCTCTCCCTTTGCACCAGGCAACAAGGGGAGAGGACAGAATGCACTCTCTTTTTATACTACTAAGTTTTTGAGAAAACCAGACATACCTACACACTGGTAGTATGAACAGAAACAACACATTAAAACTGGGAAGTCACTGGGAGTGGTTTGGGAATCACTACTGCATTGGCTTTCTGACACATCAAACATTAACAAAGGTATTATTGGATCCTGTATTCTGTGTGGCAATAAACAAAGTAGTATTTTTGATGTTAGGCTATGCCATAGGGACAGAGAGAAAAGAATAGTAAAAACCCAACAGAAATACATGGAAATAGAAAAGTCCATTTTGCACACTCAGTTGACCACTTTTTTTTCTCCTTTATGCATCTTGGATCTTTCAACTTGAAGACAGGATTGCAAATGGTCTAAATTCACAAAATAGAAAGAAAAGCTGTGGACAGACTAACCCCTGCAGCTAATACAGTAGGCTAAGTGCCTGAGCTTTGCAATCTGAGGTTATACTAGGTGGATACCTTTCCTAGTGACTACAAACTGTGACTTTAACTGCAGGTGTCATGCCAGAATCACCACATCCTTGGGATACAAGGGCTGACTTGCTGTCAGTGCTGCATTTATTACTTTCTGACTGGATCATTAATCAACACCTGGAGATTATATACATTAATCACCAACTAGTGAAATTATCTATTTCATATTTTATATAAATACTTATCACCATAATATCTGAAAGCTTAAGCAGGTACGTAATACCACTGACATCTCACCATTAGGGTCCCTATGGCTCCAATGATCAAACTACACCTTCTCTCTCAGGCTGACAGACAAAACTCCATGGTGTGAATACTAGTTAAGATTCCTGAAAAAGCAATTTATTTTCACTATAATGCTGTGACACAGTATCTATAAACAGGAGGTTTTATTATTGCCTTTTTCTTCATATAACCATCATCTGCCTATAGCCTGAATATCTGACAAAGACTGGCAGCAAAGCAATTATTCCATTTATTCCAATTATTCCAACAAAATCAACAAAAAATTACCCCCACAAAACAAAAACAAACAAAACCCAACGAACAAACATACAAACAACAAAATATGACAAAACAAACAAAAAAACCCACAAAACAAAACAACAAAAACCACACAAAACCAAACAAATAAAACCACCACCTAACATCCCCTCCCCCCTCAAGAAGCAGTGAGCAGTGTAGGTTTTGGGGTTTCTCTACACTCTACTTATGTCCCGAATTGTAATTGATTGAAAATAAGAGAAGGGTTAGAGAAAGTGAGAAATCTGTGACAATAAGAACCTAGTAATGAAGTTACTGGCATAGTGTGTTTGGGGCTGGATCTTTGGCATCATTCATCTCAGGCAAGTGTGCTTATCACTAAATTTCACTCTCAGCTTTTGTCACATTGAAGCTACTCTACCTTAGATAGTGCCCACGCTATTCATTTCCAAGAAAGATAAGGCAGTCAAAAATGGCCTACGGCCCTTCTGGCACAGCTCCTCTTCCTTTTCATCATGGAAAAGCCACTCTGGGCCCAAGGAACACTATGTCTAGCAATAAATTGAATCTTCTTCATGTGAAAAGAATTGGAGTTCTTTTTAAGCAGATCCACATTTGGTGTGGGTTCTTTTAGTTTTCCTCCCAAGCCATGGTCAGTGCTGTTCCCAGCAAAACTGGAGTCTTCTCTGGAGGGACAACAGCAGCTCAGCAGTACAAAGGTGTAGGCGGAGATCACTGTCATTTTGCTTGCTCTGTTCTTGTTTGTTACATAAGGGCATACTTCATTCTGTCGAAACTCTCCACTGGCACCTGAATTACTGAAGACTTGAGTGCTCCCCTTCCCACGACTGTTGTGGGAACACATACTTGAGGTAGCTCAAAGCTTCAAAGCACTTGTCACACACAGTCACTACATGTGAAAAGCCACCCCATTAACTCAATAGCTATGAAAAGGCTATGGACCTCATACCAAAGGATTTCTTTGGTCAAAACTTTCTGAAGTACCTCACTCAGTGCTCTGGTGGACAGATTAAACTAAACCCATACTGAAGGGACAGAAGGGTAACCCTGGGTTCCCAGGAGTAGCCTAACTATACGCCAACAACTTTGTCCAAGATGTGTCAGGTCAGCTGGTGGGACATCACTGAAAATGCTCCCAGGGGAAGGCACACAGAATTGGTTGGATAACAATACATTCCCACATCTCTACTACATGTAGAAATGGAGAGGCAGCTCCCACTGCACGTCTTGCAAACTATGAACAGATAGAACCTCAAGTATCGACCTATTATTTATGCCATCTTGCTTCTTTTTAGACAAGTTTTATCATTACTATTAAATACACATATTGCAGAAATGCCAATGGCTCCCTCTAAACAAAGCTGGCACTATATTCTGTCAGCACTTCACTACAGCTTGACCTTACCTTCCAGTCTGCATTCATAGCTGTCATTTGCATCCTCTTTTGATAATGTATGTCACAAGGGAGTAAATTCAGCACCCATTACTATCCTATCCATGCCAGTATTTCATGGTATGCTTAAATTTTTCTACCTGTAGAGTCACCCAAATGCCCTGGCACCAGCACAAGAGAGTGAGATCTTTGAGCTGAGTTACAGAGGATGCAAAACATGCCACCCAAACATGCTATCTCTAAGGCTAATAAAGCAATAAAGTTTCCCAAAGCTCTACAGCCAAGTTAACAACTACAACCTTTGCAGAAAAAAAGGTTGTTCTTCACTGATCTCAAAAATTAGTAACTCTAAGGCCAGCAGCTGCTGGCAACCAAATGACCAAGTCTGTTCATAATCTCATCAGGCCTTGATTTATTAAACATTAAGGAAGGAGGATTTTAGCTGTAAATACCAAAGACGGGATTTAAGCATTCTGACACTTAAGTTCTTCTGTTTAATAAAGGGCAATAATCTTTAGACAATGTATCTTTTTTCTTCTTTTTATTTAACAACCCAACTGCCTTTCATCTTTACTCCTCCATCTCAGATGTCCATCAGGTCGTACGGCTAAAGGTTATTGCAGTAAGGACAGCACACTAACACCAGGTAACTTGTCTTAAAGGATCAGGCTGGTGCCCTGATAGCATAGAATCACAACAATATAATTTCTGAAAGCTTCTGACCACTGAAAATACCCAAAAAGTACAATCTGACTCCTTCAGGAGAATGAAGATTATTTTTCTCATTAGTTATATTCTACCCATTTGTATAATTTTCTAATTGTCTGCAAAAGTACCTGTGAAAAACAAAGAGATAAACTGATGAGAACACAAGCTCAACAAGACTCAAGAAGAGAACATGCATCCTTACATGCTCTCACAGAACTTCCTAAGGGTGCTGGGTTTTTCCTGGTTGCGTCTTTGTCGAAACCAACGTTGAATGCTGCGCACATCCCAGTCCAGCTGCTTGGAGAGGCCTTCCAGCCTCTTCTCATCTGGATGCTACAAAACAGAGAAGCACAAAAATTACTTTCCAGCTCAACTGCATTAACATTTTATATTCAGAACCAGTGTAATTGACTCTTGCCTTCTTACCAAGGCTGTCTGTCAGACACATGGATACACAGAAATCTCTACTGGCAGATTCCCATCAGAATACAATTACACTGACAATTATTAATCTAGGACAGATGTTGTAGTATGACATGCAGGTCCTTTAGTGATAAAAAACTTTAAAGGGACAACAGGATTGAAACTTGACTGAAACTTGGAAGTGACATTTAGCAGCCAAAAAATGCCATGCATTTCTGGAGCAGTGGCTCTTACAAACACCTCACTGCCTGCCACACACTAATACTTGTTCCACTCTCCTACATTAGGATCTTTGCCCTATCGACTTTTGCACTGGGGAAGACAGATTAACTGTCACAGAAAGAAGATAAACCCCATGTTTCTTCACAATAATGTTAAAAAAATGAGGTTGTTAAAGTGACACCATCAAAAGGAAGATCACCTTGACAAGAGGGAGACAGAATTGTTTTCCGTAAAACTAAATATACACAAATATTCTCCAAAGCAGAAAATGTAGAAGTCTCATACCATTACTGTGGCTGCAAACCAGAATAGAGATAAGGCAAAAGAAAATGGACCTGTCCTTAATTTGAAGAGCAGTACAGGACAAACAATCATACAGTAATTCTACATGTACAGTGAAGCATATGTACTACTTATAACTTCTCCTGATCACATAGTATTTTAAATAAACAGAAAAATGGACAATCTGTTTTCTGGAACTTTAGCTTTATTTCTGCAAACCAGTTACATCTATTGAATGAAGTACAAGAGCTCTAACAACAAAGAGCTTTAAATTTTTAATTGTTGCAGGACACAAACCAGCAAAATTTCTGTTAGGCTGAAGTTTTGCCTATCAGCCTCCAAGAAAACACAGGAAAGAGAGGGAAATGAAAGGATGAGACAAGAGAAGGTTGAAGTATTTGCCATCCATCTTAATAAAGTTTTTTAGTCAACCAAAATATCTACTAGTTTTTCAATGGAAGGTTAAAAAAAGCAATTTCTGTAACCTTAGAAAAATGAAATGTTTGATGGAGTTCTTAAGAGTTTGACTAGAGTAAACTGCTGAATTCACAGAATTACCCTATAGGATTCAAAAAAGGCAGGTAGCTAAACTGGACAGTTTCTCTGAGAGCAGCTACCAGATTCTTGCAGGAAAGCAGATAATTCCATTTGGAGCTCTTCACACTCACAGGTATTTCACATCCTGTGTCAGACTACCAGATTTTATGAGGCTATATTAAAACCAAACAAACAACCAACCTCACAAAAAACCAAAACCTAACCATTTTTCATTCAGCTGAGTCTGTGTGAGAGTGTATTCTACAGCTTTCAGAAACAAAGCACATGCAATTCCATCCCTGAAAATGGGACAAAAGTCACAGGAAGTGCCATGGTGTTCTTTGGATAGTGTAGGACACACAAGCAAGACAGATCCACAGCATATTTCACTGCCAGTGACACTGAACCCAGTTTTGCCCTTTATGACTTTAATGCTCTCTGAAGTTTACACTGGTGCCCAGTTGCAGTCTGGAGCCAAGGTGGGAATAGAAAGCTGCTGCAGAAAAATTTAGGATGCTTGAAAAGCATGGACAAAACAACAAACAGGTTAAGGTGATATGTCATAGGATGAGGCATGTAGAGACAGATATATAAGTTGTTGGGAAAAATCTTGTACAAAAAAAGACATACAAGCTGTAAATAAAGTATTATTCAGACAGTTTCTCCCACTTCTCTATGTCGTTCTCCTTTAGCTGGGACACCAGAAACACAGGCCTTTCCCTAGAAAGTAGCTTTGCAGCTTCATGAAAAACAGTATCAATATAACTGGCTTACAATAAGCTCTTCTTTTTCTAAAAACCCCAACAATTTTGCAAAAATTGATACAAAATAGGTAAGAAGCAAAAAAAAAAGTAGATAGCCATATGGCATCTACAAAGAGTTTCTGTGACAATTTTTTTTAAATTGAAAACTTACAGGAGACATCACAAAGGGTTATACAACCGCTCAAGCTGGCATATTAAAGACATCCCCAATATTTGAATTTCTGATTTGAGATTAAAAAATGCAGCACTGTTAGGTTTGCTTTGTTCATATGTAGTTTAGAGTGCCACATCCCACTTCACAGGGTAAATATTTTAGTCAGACACACTACCTTTGTAATAGCTGTGAAAACCTTCTCCAAGATAGCATTAGGTTGAGCTTTCTGTGGTCCATTGGCTTGGACTTTAAGGCCTAAGGCACATGGTTTAGCAATGAACCTGTGAGAAACAGAAAAATGAGAGAAGAAAATAGGTGAAATCCTACAGTTATTCATTACTGTTATCAATCATGGCACGTGGTAAATGGGCAAACATTGTAATCCTGCCAACAAAAACAATACTTAGTTTTACAGCTAAAAAGGAAACTCATATAGGCAATTACATCACAAAGTAAGGAACATCACTTTGAAGGATGAAAGGAACTCCACAGAACACATGAAACAGAGGATTTTCTTTCATGTTGTGAAAAAAGAGATTAGAACAAAAGCATGAGAGGAATGCCTCCTAGAGAAGCACCAACTAAAGAAAAGAGCAGGGCAGCTTGAGGAGCATATAATATTATCCTCCAAACACAGCCTTTTTAAAAATCAGTTTCCAAAGTACCTACTGCCTTTGGACTCCTCTGGCACAACAGAATTTCAGAATCCTGAAAGGCGGTAAACACTCAAGCTGCCCAGTCAATACAATCTTCTAAAAGCTTAAAATTTACATAGTACAGAGACACAAAAAATGATCTTCTGCTAAAGTATGAGGCTGTCCAAAATCCTCACACCATTCTGTAAGTTCTCTGAGACCTTTTAGAGTTGAATTGGATAGTTTACATTACAGATAGTCAAAGACCACAACTCTACTCATGAAAAATTAAATTATTTGTAACTATGAGTCAATCTGGACCTCCCATGAAAGCTAAAAACACTGTATAGGGATCACATTCATATCTGAACACTATGAACTTCTGCCATCTTTGAACTATATAACTCATGATTTCACTTAAACAGCTTTTGTTTCCCAAAACTTTATTAGCCAACATGGACCAAAACAACACTTGGTACTTAAGTAGTTCCATATTTATCCAGCTGAATGACCACAAGCTATAAAAAATCCTGGAATTCTTACCCACAAACCAGCCCCATTTTAAGCCCTCTTATGAGCTACAACTGCTGTTTCTGCCATGTTTAAGACAGCACCCTGATTAAAGGGAATTATGTCCTGATCAATGTGATAGTGGTTATAGCATAGCATTTGATAAACAAAGATGGTTGATGCCAGACCACCCTGTTTTCCTGGAGAAAAATTCTTAATATATTGACACAATTCCATTGAAAGGCAATTCTATAGCCTGAAATAATGTTAATGACTGAGAGTGAGAGACAAATATTCAAAAATACATGCAATATATCAGTGATCTTACTATTTGCTCCTAGCATGTTACAGAAGAAAAAAACCCTTATACTCTGTAAAACTTTGGTGGCAATCCAAATGGGTTGCAGATTGCAGCCATTGTGCTCTCTATAGCACCAACCAAATTAAAGGCATTGCATCAGGTGTAAATTCCCTGCTTTAGAGTTCAGAGCTTGGATGAATCCAGTTTCACTACTAAGCTCAAGAAGATAATCCAGTCTTCTGTTCATGAAAGAGAAGCAAGTAAGCTCTGCACACATTAAATATAAATACAGTTTAATCAAGCCACATTGGAGACTTGTATGCTAGTTAAAGTAAAAGCTGACAAAAGAAGTGAGAATTGTATTCTCAAGTTCAATACAGACATAATCAAACCATACAGAGCTGGTAGCTGATAATAAAAAATATAGCTGAAGAAGCCAATGCAATCAGAATTCTGAAGTTTACTTCACTAAGGAATTCTAAAACACTTCATTATGTAACAACATGGTTCAGAATATTAGCATCTATGCTCTTGTATCAAAAAGCTGAAAAGCAGCCCAAAATTCAAGTCTTCATTATTACAGACAATTTAAAGACCATAAAAATAATTTCCTGAAGAGTAAGCCATAGAGCCAGACAACAGTCAATCCTAAAAGACAATAAAGGCAATGTCAATCAGTGTTAAAGGTAATTTTACAAAGCCATAAAAAGAAACACTTAAACTTAGAGGGGCAGGGGAATGCTGTAGGCAGAGTAAAAACACACAAAATAAACAGAAGACAACTGCAGCAGCTTTATGCATTCACAGAGGAAACCAAGCTCAGCCTCCACCACCACCACCAAGATCAAGAAGAAGTCATTAAATAAACACAAAAATCAAAATAAAAATGGTTTCAGATGGATTTTCTGTGCATTTAGTAAGTCAGCCTCCTCTGAAATAAGACATTATTTGGGAGTTTGCTGTTTATTTGGAGGGTATGGGGGGCTTTTCTTTGGCTGGCTTGGGGGGAGGATTTTGTTTGTTTACTTGGGGATTTTGCTATTGTTTTGTTTGTTTGTTGTTCTTTTAATAAAATACATAATGGGACTTCCGTTTTGTTTTTCTCCTTCTGAGTGAAGGAATGTGATGGCCATGATATAACTCCAATAGAAAGGCAGTTCCCTAAACATGCTGATTTATAAGAAAAAAAGTAGATAAAAAGTCCCAGATAGAAAAAAAATCAAAAAGACGTAATTCCAACACATCTCATGCTGAGTTGATCTTCATTTAAATCTAAGCCAACCAGCTGGGTTTGCTTAAATTACATTCTTAAAATTACATGTGATGTTAATGAATAGCCTAGGTAAATCCAGGACAAAGCACAGACCCAGTGGAGTTATATTTATATTAAAATTGTAATATAAAATTAAAATTTATATTAAAATTGTAATATAGATGTTATACCCATTACCTAAAAGAAAAGAGATTTTCTAAACACAAATATGAGCTTTTTTGCCTTTGTTGCCTATGTTTTTCACATGCGTGGGAGGAATGGGCACGTGACTTAAAGCAGAGCTTGTCCGCAGTACACAGCTGCAAGACACAGGGTTATCTTGGCCAGCTATGTCAGTGATGAAGAGACAGGGAAAGGTACAAAAAACCCACAAAGGGCCCACTAGGACACTCAAGAGAAAGCAGTTTTAACTGAAACATTTTATACACTTGCAATACTGAGCAGGTTTGACCATTAATTCAAGTATTCATAAGCCAAGCTTTGTGCATGTGACTACTTTTGGCAGAACTTGTAAAATGTGAGAATTATTTTTCATAGAAAATCTTAACCAAATAAAGATATACTTTGGAGTATAAACTTGTTTTTCAGGGCTACAGTAGTAGAGTTCGAAGTTGTTTAAAGTAGAGTTAATTTAATAGGGTACCAAACTTCACAGGTGTCATAAAAAGCATCATTAACATGATACTCTTCCGTAATAATTTAAATTGATTCATAAGTAAAAAAACAGAATTAATGTTTGATACATGTACAAGCTATGAGTGTTTCGCCAAATGCCGTACTTCTTAAAAGCATGGTTCATTTTTTTCCATTTCTGCTTACACTGTGGTATTCAATTCCCTAAACAGTCTTGGTGAAACCCATGGGACTATTTATTACATAAGGTACTGCAATTAAGAGGGAGCAACTATTGTGGAAGAGTAAGGAGAATGGAATTGAGTATATTGCCAGCTTTTCTCTTTAAAACATGGAAATCTGAACAAACACCACACTAATATCTCTTTTTCAATGGATTTCAGTACAGCTGAATTGAAAGGTGGTATTCCAATTACACAGAAATTAAAGGACAAACACATTCTGCTGAATATAGCCCCATCTATTCTGGATGTAGAAAGCAAAGACTAACACAAACAAGGGAATTAAAATCAGAATTAAATAATCTTTTTAAAGGCAGCTTCCTCATTCACAGACAGAAGCCACATTTAAAAACCAACACAGGCCAAGGCAAGAAGTCCCCAGTGAGGCAGCTCAGAGGAGCTCAGAGGGTTCCTGCAGAGCCCTGAGCCCCTGCAGCCCACCCAGAGCACCCGAACCCCCCGGAGGCTCTGCCCGCCTGCCCTGCCCAATTCACTTCTTTACAAAGCAAGGCCTCCTAGCCCACCCAAACTTAGGAGATGAGTGTTTCTTTAGAAAGCGGTCAAAAACCCTTTGCAAAATGATCCCCACCTTCTCCAGGGTATAAAAAGAGACACCATCTTCACCACAAGGTTTAATCAAGTACCATTTTGTTTCCCCAAGAAGGCACAATTACTTCATGAGGGAGACAACGACCACACCTGACCACCAATGCTGGGGAAAACAAAACCCCAAACCTGCCAGAATTATTTCGAAATGTTACCCCTCACAATCCTTGGAGGATGATGTGAATTTGCAATTGCAAAGTCTGTGTTAAATACGTAGGATTTTTAAAGTATCACATGAAGGATGAGAAGAAAAGCAGAATTATTTTTTTACAATAAATCAAACAACACTACTTGTAACATGTCATTTTTGCCCTGAATCTGGCCAGATCCAGACACAGAACTCTTCAGTCATCTGGGGCACTGGGAATGTGCCTGTAGGGCCCTCTGACAGGCGGTGAATGCAGTGTTTTCACACCAGCAGGTCATCTGCCATTTCCGAGCTGACCTTTAGCAAATTCATGTCTGACAGCTTCTCAGCAGCTCTGCAGATATTTAAACCACCACAGAGCCCACAAGCAGGTAAAAGGGATTACAGGTTCAGGACTTTTTAAACAGCCTTAAAGGTCTGCAGAAATTAACAAGGCATTCTAAAGAGGGCAAAAAAACCCAGAAAAGCCAATCAAACAAACAAATATTAAGCTAACAGGGCTAACGAATATTAGATTCATGTAACTCACACTCTTTTTAATGTATGGAAAGAAAATAATGGCTTCTTCTAAACCATCAATTTAAGAAACACTAGTCTAAAAATAATTGACAGTGTTAGGTAAGTGATAAATGTTAACCAATTAATTTTGCAAAAGGATAAGATTACCCATTCAACAGAATATCAAAATAAGAGTGGTTGATACAGAGGAAAAAGGGTGTTTTATACTTCTGCACTTAAAACTGGCATGTCTAAAATAAATCATCATCAGAGGGAAGGATCTGCAAGAGTCTTACCAGGTCTCAAACCCAGCAATAAATAACTGGCAAAGTTTAGATTGTTGTGGGGGGTTTTTTGGGTTTTTTTTGTTTGTTTGTTTGTTTGTTTTTAGGTATGCATCATTCCACACATTAGTAAACCTTTTTTTTCCTTGCAGTATTTGAAGCATACGAAGTT